GTGTGTGTGTGTGTGTGTGTGATGGCCATGGGAGAGGATGAGATGCCCTCTACTTTGTTCCTTAGGTCAGACTGTGGTGAAGGAGATAGGGAATTCCTGATTCCAGGCAGATCCAGATCCAGATGCCTTTCAGATGCTTATCCGTATGCAGCTGACAGAAACATCTGTTTGAATCTGAGCTTGCTGAAAAGCTCAACACACCAAACATCTGCTTGTCCTGACAATGGCTCCCAAACAAACTCAGCCTCAGGTTAAAACTGCCACCATCAGTGCTTTGGCAGAAAATGGAACTTTTCTAAATGCCCTATGTCTTCTGGGGTTTCTTCTGCTCTGAATCCATCACCTTTGAATAGGTCCAAAGCAGTTCCTCCCACTTGTCTTCTGTGTCTCTCTTTGATATAAACGGAGTAATGACTCAGGCAAATAGCGTGAAGGAGAGAAAGATTTTCGTTCATGCATTCATTCATTAAGTAAACATTTATTCTACATGTTTTGTGCCAGACCCTTCACCAGAAACTCGGGTCATGGAGATAAAAACCATAGTCTACCTACAGACAAGAAAGCAGATCACTAGGCTACTGGGTGATGAGAGCAATGTACAAAAAGCTGTGTGGGGTCAAAGGAAGGCATGGCAAGTTCTGCTCAGTGTGGTCATGGATGGCTTCTTACAGAAAGAGTTATTTGAGCTGAATCAGGAAGGGTAAAGATGAATTGACATGTTTGTAAGTAAAAGAATGGACATTCCAAATCGAAGAAACCTGGAATCCTGGTATGACACTGTAGGATAAAATCTAGACTGCTAACTGAAATATCAGCGGTTCAAACCCACCAGCTGCTCCTTGGGAACCCAAACAGGATTGTGGTAAGGTGGAGCTGACTTGCCAATAACAATAGAGGAAACGCATGGAATTCTTTTGGTGTGGCATTGTAGGATAATCACTAGATTGCTAACTGAAGATTGGCAGTTCAAAACCACCAGTCACTCCTTGGAAAAACTCTATACAGGATCGCTATGATTCTGAATGGACTCAGTGACACTTAACAACAATCACAACAGAGGAAAGGCATAGGGGTAAAAACACAGGATAGTTTGAGGAAGTGTGAGTAGCTGGGTGTGCCAGGCATAGAGAATGTTGCAAATGATACAAGAGAAGTGAGAATGGAAAGATTCTATATTAGGGCTCCATTTGATACAAGGAACAGAAGCCCAACACAGAAGGTTCTTTTGGCCTAGACTAAGGCCAAAAGGAGCTCTGGTAGCGTAGTGGTTACGAATCGGGCTGC